TAATTCAAATGTTCCTTTAGCTTTTCGATAGATAACAATCCTGTCGGCTTGTATTTGACTTATTCAGACAGTGTCGTTGGAAATAGAAAAGGTCCTTCTGCTTTTGGGTTTGCCTTTCGCCCTATTTTAGCTCTCGTTCGGTTACATTGCTCATGGTTTCAACTACAGCAATTTCTATAATCTAAGTAGGAAATGACGCCTTGTAAAAAACCGAGGGCCCAACATCCGCAAACTGAGCTTCCTATGCCTTTGGTCATGAAGATAAAGCTGATAATAATAATAAGCAGGATAATGATGTGGCTCTGTTTTTGTCATGCACCTTACTCAGCATAACTTTTGACCATCCTCTGTCGTTTTCAGTCTTATTTTACGGTGACTTTCCCATTCCTTCAGTTTATACACGGAGGGAAGGTAATCTTTTGTTTCAAAAAAGTTTGTATTTGATCAATATATTAGACCTTGCTGTGTGTTTTAATGGGACTGGTTATCATTAAGTTTATTGTTGTTGCTTTTGAAGCATATCTTATACAAATAAACTAAGATCAAAATTGGCCGTCCAGCCGCGAATAAAGTCCCAATTTAGATAGATTCCGTAGGCTTTCAGATTGCAACTGTCTGGTCACGAATATGAATAACACAGAGTTGATGAGATTGGCGGCGATTAGGAATTCAAAAATGATTGAACAGGCAAAAAAGCCCGTCACGCGTTGCTCTGCCAGACTTTTCACGGCGGCTCTGCAACCCTTTTGACAAAAAACAGGAATAAATATTTAGTTATGCAATTATGTATAAATAGTGTTGCATGTATGTTAAGGACAGTCATTCGGTCTTTTACATAACTGAAGCACTCCACACTACACTTTATGAAAACTTCATACGCCTAAAATAATGTTGATTCGCCTCATCAATCGTTTTAAATAATGAAAACAACTCGTCGAAATCCGGTCTAGAGCTTTATTGGAACTTAACGAGTTCTTCGACAACATTCTTTGTAGTGTTGTAGCGAGTGGCTGTTTGATAGAGTTTGAAAGTGTGCACGTCTTTGAAATACCTGTCATAAAAATGGATCAAAGGTACTACTCACGAAGGTTTACTATGTTTTTGGCGTTTACGATATCTGAATCATATTTTAGATATTCGTTTCGAGGACAAACTCCATAACGTTACAACTGCAACTAAGAATCATCTAGCCATTCGTCGGGATAGATGTGCAAACCTTGTGGAATATCATGTAAGGCCCATAGGCACAATATCATAGAAGGGCTTACAGTCCCATTAGACGTATAAAACACTAAAGAAAAAGAATGGTTTTAACGCACATTGCATGAGCAGGTCGTGAGACCTCAGACGTTTTTTAAATAATCCAAATTTTATTTTAACTGGCCTCTTTTACGTTTTCGCAGCCTAAAATATTCCGATGCAAAAA